GGACCCGCCCCAAATGTCTCGGGCCAGGGCGGGTCATTGCGGGTCAGGTTTTTTTGACATCCCTACTTGAATAGAACTCAGCCAATCTCATCAACTTTGAGAGATATTTATTATACAAAAAATATAAATATAGTATGACATTGTGATAAAAAGCACATTCACACATTTACGGATTACCTATTAGGAAATAAGTTTTTTTAACCTAGAAATCACAACTCATTATTAGCATTTTACAGTACCACAGACTAAATATAATCCAGCTTTTACGTGGACTTACCCTTATCGTTGTACCGATTAGCAAGAATCATAAAACAAAACAAACAAAAAACTAAAAGACAAATATATTAGGAATTAAACACGCACACGAAGAACAATTAAAGAACACACGAAATTTGGTAACCCAGTTCGCCACGAATGACTACGTCTGGGGGCGCTACCAAGCCAGGAATATTATTGCTATTTTCGGGTCTTGGGATTACAACGGAGAGAGGTTGTATTTATAGAGAGAGTAAAACACAACCCCTAATTAAAGTAGGACGCGCGTTTCCAAAAAAATATAGTAAACCGTACGACCCAACTGTACGGACTGTACGGAAAACTTGATCGTCAAAAACGGACCAAACATTTCAGAAACACGCGAACCCCAAGGGGGGGCTACCGTCCAACTCCTTGTCGAGTTGGATCGACGGATAGAGCTTGGTTATACAGTCTCTAACACCTTACAAAATATGATGTTATTTTCATCTGTAAATGATTCATGCTTCTCTCCCCGTTTTATTAGACCTCTAGAGTTTACAAATTAAATTAGTATCCTTAGGGACTAAACAGGTACATAAACTATATATTAGACCAATATTCAAATTCATACTTGATATAATATTTCAATATAAATTCATCATATCATAAGTGCGGCTAATATCTTCACCGGCTTCATTTTGGTGGGGAGGAATCTTGTTTAATGGGGGCAATCAATTATTTTTAGGGAAAATGGAAACTAATAATCCAATCCTTTAGCGGTCTTCTTTTAATAGTCCGACCTTTTCGTTATTCATGAATAATCCAACCTTTGCACCTCATCTTCATTCATTGGTTCCCGACCGGTTGATGACCTGCTATTCCGAGTTATTTTCTTATCTCTGCAAACTATTATACCATAAATTCCACCTTTCACAAAGATAATATTTTGCAAAGATAAGAAAATAACTTGGAATAGCAGATCATCAACCGGTCAGGGACCAGTGAATGAAGATGAGGTGCAAAGGTTGGATTATTCATGAATAACGAAAAGGCGGGACTATTAAAAGAAGACCGCTAAAAGGTTGGATTAGTAGTTTCTATTTTCCTATATTTTTATTGGGGGGAAATTTCTAATTGTTTTATTTAAATTTTTATATTCCAACCAATTTACAAAACTAGCTAGTTTAATAAATAAATGTAAAATATATGCCTAAAAAATGTAAAATATACGGAGTATACTACTACTTCATTCGCCATTCAAACGAGCAGCAAACGGTTGTCAAATGGTTCACCGTTAAATAAAGGGGGTGATTGTCCCACTTTCAAGGTTTTTAAAGATTTTTACCCAAAATAAAAGTTTAAGGGCATACATCCTCCTTGGTGACAACTTCAGGGGTGATTTTGCCCCTTTTCCCGACTAAATATGTAGTTACTTGACTCATGCATACATGATTAATTCGGTAACATAATTAATTAGACATATTTTTCTCATATTCATGATCACGTGTAGTTAAGGTGTACGAGTACAATAATTATGCTAAAGTCGGCATTCCGACAGATGTGTGATGGGTAGATGGGTAAATAAAATTAAATAAAATGCATATTAATGAAATAATAGTTTGTCATTTTCGAAAAAATGAAAACTAGTCATATTTTTAACTTCCAAAAGCATAGAGTAAATAATTTTGTTATTTTTTCGAATCAAAAAGTCTTGAGTTAGTAGTCGATTATTACCTCCGTCTCCTAATAATTATTAATAGGAAAAATTCACATTAATAATCTTAACTATTAACAGTCTTCCATTATTAATCCCATCTATTCATTATTCTAGAATAATCTTAAGTTCAACGATGGTCTTCTATAATTGATCTCCAGTGACCGTGTACCTACTTATCCGGTACAAAAACAAAAACAATAAAAAAAAAAGCAAAAAAGAGGAAGAGCAGGAGCTTTCTCTGCCGGCAGCGGAACTATGCTCCAAACACTTAGAACCAAGCTACTGAGTTAGGGATAAACCAGAGAAGGTTTATCATATCTGATTACGCTTAACTATCTCACGTGTCTATAGGCTCCCTTCTTCAAGCTTCTTCTTCACCGGAGTCACGCCAGAAATAGTGACAACAGGTGGGATGGAATTTCAAGGCGGTGTAGATGGAATGGAGTCCATCCGGCGCTTCTTCTCTCTGTCTCAGTTGGCCATTTATGGTGACATCACCATATTATTGATTCCTTCGGTTGTCCAAACCTTTGGTCGGCCAAGGAAGGATGAAGAGGAAACCAAAAATGGCATGGGTAATAGGATGGATCTTCGAGGCATCTTAGACGAGGATGAAATCTGTTCATCGTTTCTTTTCGCCGGCCACTACCTAACTTTTGTAGTCACCAACCCTTAAGAGTGGAGCCTGAAGAATAGAGGAGACCTGAAGAAGAAAACCCCAAGAGAAAAAGGAAAGAAATTAAAATAGAAAAGAAAAGATAAACATATGAAAACAAATAAAAAGTTGACACGTGTCTCAATGACCTGCTCAATAGGTAAACGCAGGTCACTGGTGTATAATGGGAAGATGACCCTTATACTTGAGATTATATTAGAAATATCAATATATGGGATTAATATAAGAAGAATGACAATAGTTGAGATTATTCATGTGAATTTTTCCTTATTAATATTGGAATTATTGTTAAACACATATTACAATAGATTAGAAGCTAAGTGTTGCCCAAAAATGTTCAGATTTCTATTAGTCTTACTATAATAATGTGCCAAATTCAGGAAGACTAAATATGTAGTTACTCGACTCATGTTCACTTCATTAGTTTCATATAATAATGAATTAGATATATATTTTTTCAAATTCACGTGTAGTTAAGGTTTACGAGTACAATAATTATGTTGAAGTCAACATTAGGGTAGATATGTGATGGGTAGTTGGGCAACAAAAATAAATACAATGCATATTATGAAATAACGGTTAGTCAATAACTTTGTTAGGGTGATCTATAACTTTGTTTTCATATTTCTATTAGTCTCACCGTAGATATATTTTTCTCATTCTCGTGTAGTTAAGGTTTACGAGTACAATAATTATATGGAAGTCAGCATTAAGGTAGACATGTGATGGGTATTTGGGCAAAAAAAACATATACATTGCATATTAGTGAAATAACGGTTAGTCAATAACTTTTTTAGGTAATCTATATCTTTGCAACCTTTTTCTTGCTTCTTCTTTTCATTGTTCTTTCTCTTTTTTCCTCGTGTACTCCTTTGTTTCAAGATTCCACAAATATTTTCATTCTTAAAAAAAGGGAAAACTGTCAAATAGGTCCTCGAACTTTCATAAAAAAGTCAATTAAGTCCTTCTATAGGAGACTCTGTCCGGTCGTCGCGATTTGGGGTGGTTCCCGGTGGAATTTTTTGATAAAATGTTTTGAGCATCTTATTCATCAAGTCTAGTTTACTCATACCAAATTTCAGCTAAAAATTTAATCGAGAGCGCATTCAAATTAATTAGAGAACGCAAAAATGCGCAGTTATCTTCAAGAATTAATTTGAATGTGTTCCCGATTGAATTTTTAGCTGAAATTTGGTATGAGTAAACTAGACTTGGTGAATAAGATGCTCAAAAAATTTCATCAAAAAATTCCACCGGGAACTGCCCCAAATCACGACGGCCGGACAAAACCTCCTATAGAAGGACTTAATTGACCTTTTTATGAAAGTTCGAGGACCTATTTGACAGTTTTCCCTAAAAAAAATGAACTAACGTTTAGTCATTTTCGGAAAATTGAAAACTACTCATATTTTTAACTTCTGTAGGCATAAAGTAAATAATTTTGTTATTTATTCAAATCAGAAAGTCATAAATTACTAGTTTATAATTACATCCGTCTCCTAATAATTAATAGTATTAGAATTATTGTTAAACACGTATTTTAATAGGTTACAAGCTAAGTGTTGCCCAAAATGTTCATATTTTTATTAGTCCTGCCGCAGTATTGTACCAAATTCAGGAACACCAAATACTCCGTATGTAATTACTTGACTCATGGTGTCTTCATTAGTTTGTTAAAATAATCAATTAGACATGTTTTTCTCAAATTCACGTGTAGATAAGTTTTACGCGTAAAACTAGAAAAAAAGACATTTGCTGCGGTCGTTTTGACCCATTTGCTGCGGTTCACGCCCGCAGCAATAGCGGGAGCAGCAAAATCCAAAAAGTGCTATTTGCGGCGGACGTACCCGCAGCAAAAAAGTGCCCAGATTTTTTAAAAAAAATACCCTTTTTGCTGCGGTTCCTTAACAACCGCAGCAAATACATATGCCAAATTAACTGTTTTTGCGGCGGTCCTGTACAACCGCAACAATAAGTGTTCAAAAAATGTGCATCTTATGTGCACATTATTCTCTTTTAATGGACATTTTCAATCAATCCAAATATCAATCCAAATATCACATAACAAAAAAAAGTTAACTAAAAGTTATATCGTTAATACATTTTCGATCTAATATAGAGTTTACAACAAATTGTCACAAACATATATCGCCCATCTATCACGAATTTCATCAATTTCTGTCATTGAAAGCGCCTCATCTCGTAAGGTGCTTGTGTACACCTACAAAATAAAGCATTTCTAATTAGTACAACTACGATTTGGAATATAATTTCATAACAATAACCCTTTCACATTATAACTAAAACTTTTCTCATATATATATATATATATATATATATATATATATATATATATATATATATATATTTCATCTCGCTCATTCAATTCATCGTCCACGCCATTTCATTTCCTACCATTATCCTCCTCCTTCCCCTTACTCTTTTAACATCAACTGATGGGTTCTAAAATGGTGATGGTGGACGGAATCCCATTTCCACCCCATCTCAATTTGAACAATAACCAGCTCTCACTCATGGGTCATGGGATTACTGATGTTGAGATCCATTTCCTCCAAATAAAGTACACAGCAATTGGGGTTTATTTGGACCTTGAAATTGTGTCACATTTAAGCCAATTTAAGGGGAAAACACCAGTTGACCTCTCTCAAGATGAGGACTTCTTTGAAGCTAATATTAATGCCCCAGTGGATAAAATACTGAGAGTGGTGGTGATAAAGGAGATAAAAGGGTCACAGTATGTGGTGCAGCTAGAGAGTGGAGTGAGGGACTTTTTGGCAGAGGCTGATAAATATGATGAGGAAGAGGAAGATGCTCTTGAAAAAAGTAGAATCATTTTTTCAGTCCAAATATCTCAAGACAAATTCTGTCATAACATTTACTTTTCCAGCAGCTAACACTGCCTCAGCTAAGATTGTGCTAACAACAGAGGAGAAGGATGAGTCAGGCATTGATGTAGAGAATGCAAATGTTGTTGAAATGATGAAAAAATGGTATTTTTGTGGAACTAGGGCGGTATCTCCTAGCACAATCTCCTCCTTGGTCAATACATTCTCCATCTAATCTTCCAATCAAGCTTCCATGGCTGTAATAACTAGTGATTGTATTTTACCATTTCTTTTATGCAATTCAATAAACTTTGTTTCCTTCTATATATGTATGTGTGTGTGTGTGTGTGTGTGTGTATATATATATATATATATATATATATATATATATATATATATATACCCATGAAAACATACCTGCTCCAGATCTTGACCTTCATTGATACTTCTACTCAGATCATAAATGAATCTCATCATATAATATCCACACTCCAAGCCGCCCGTTTGTTTTGCGCACTGAAAAATTGTACACAAAATATACTTTATATTCATATTACTCACTACTAAGTTAAATGACTTAGAAACTATAGTAAAATATTTAGTAAAACGTTATATATACTTATTATACCTTCATCTGTTTCCAAATGATCTTTTTCACCTTTTCACTTCCATGGGCACAAATATTTCAAAAAACACTATTATGAAACATTCAAAGTTAGAACAATAATAACTATGCTGAAATTGGCATTAGGGTAGATATGTGATGGTTAGTTGGGAAAACAAATAAATACAATGCATATTAATGAAATAACGGTTAGTCAATAACTTTGTTTGGGTGATCTATAACTTTGTTTTCAGATTTCTAGTCTCACCGTAGTACTATACCAAAAGCATTTTCGTAAAAAATGAACTAACATTTATTCAATTTTTGAAAATTGAAAACTAGTCATATTTTTAACTTCCAAAGGCGTACAGTAAATAATTTTGTTATTTATTCAAATAAAAAAAGTCATGAATTACTAGTTTATTATTAACTCCATCTCCTAATAATTAATAATATTGGAGTTATTGTTAAACACGTATTTTAATAGGTTACAAGCACTAGAAAAAAACAGGGGATTGGGTAGGATTTCTCGAAATTCGCATGGATTTTGGCAAGGATATGCCAAATCCGTGCCAAAACTTGTTTGGCACGAAAACTAGACAAATTCGTGCCAAATCCGTGTCAATCCCGTAATTTTTTTGTTGTGAAGCTTAGTGTTGCCCAAAATGTTCATATTTATATTAGTCCCGATGTAGTATTGTACCAAATTCAAGAAGACTAAATACATGTGTAGTTACTTGACTCATGATGACTTTATTAGTTTGGTAAAATAATCAATTAGACACGTTTTTCTCAAATTCACATGTAGTTAAAGTTTACGCGTACAATAATTATGCTGAAGTCGGCATTAGGGTAGATATGTGATGGTTAGTTGGGCAAAAAAGAAAATAAATACAATGCATGTTAATGAAATAACGGTTAGACAATAACTTTGTTTGGGTGATCTGTAACTTTGTTTTCAAATTTCTATTAGTCTCATCACCGTAGTACTGTACCAAATTCAGGAAGACTAAATATGTAGTTACATGTTTCATGATGAAATCATTAATTCGGTAAAATGATTAAAAAGACATATTTTTCTCATATTCACGTGTAGTTAAGGTTTACGGGTACAATAATTATGTTGATGTCAGCATTCGGGCAGATGTGTGATGGGTAATTGGGTAAATAAAATTAAATAAAATGTGTATTAATGAAATAATGGTTTGTCATTTTCGAAAAATTGAAAACTAGTCGTATTTTTAACATCCAAAAGCATAGACTAAATAAGTTTGTTAATTTTTTAAATTAAAAAAGTCTTGAATTAGTAGTTTATTATTACCTCAGTCTCCTAGTAATTAATAATATTGGAATTATTGTTAAACACATATTATAATAGGTTACAAGCGAATTGTTGGCCAAAAATGTTCAGATCTTTATTAGTCCTACTGTAATACTATGCCAAATTATGGAAGACTAAATATGTAGTTACTCGACTCATGTCCACTTCATTAGTTTAATTTGATATAATAATGAATTAGATATATTTTTCTCAAATTCACGTGTCCTTACGGTTTACAAGTACAGTAATTATGTTGAAGTCAGCATTGGGGTAGATATGTGATGGTAGTTGGGCAAAAAAAATGCATATTAACGAAATGACAACTAGTCAATAACTTTGTTTGGGTGATCTATACCTTTGTTTTCAGCTTTCTATTAGTCTCACCGTAGATATATTTTTCTCAAATTCACGTGTAGTTAAGGTTTACGAGTACAAAGCCAAGTACCTTGTGGTCTGATAGCATCACTGTGACACTTCCAAAAAGAGGTCACAACTTCGAATCTCATCCCAGTTAAAGGATGTTGGCCTTAACAAAACAGATATTATAATAGGTTAGAAAGAATTTGCTCAAAAAAAAAAAAGGTTTACGAGTACAATAATTATGTTGAAGTCAGCATTAGGCCGGGTAGATATGTGATGGGTAGTTGGACAAAAAAAGTAAATACAATCCATATTAATGAAATAACGGTTAGTCAATAACTTTGTTTGGGTGATCTGTAACTTTGTTTTCAGATTTCTATTAGTCTCACCGTAGTATTGTACCAAATTCAAGAAGACTAAATATGTAGTTACATGACTCATGAAGACATCATTAATTCGGTGAAATAATTTATTAGTCCTACTATAATACTGTGCCAAATTGAGGAAGACTAAATATGTAGTTACTCTACGCATGTTCACTTCATTAGTTTGATATAATAATGAATTAGATATATTTTTCTCAAATTCACGTGTAGTTAAGGTTTACGAGTACAATAAGTATGTTGAAGTCATCATTAGGGTAGATATGTGATGGGTAGTTGGGCAAAAAAAAAACAATGCATATTAATGAAATAACGGTTAGTCAATAAATTTGCTTGGGTGATCTATAACTTTGTTCCTAGATTTCTATTAGTCTCACCGTAGATATATTTTTCTCAAACTCACGTGTAGTTAAGTATATGAGTACAATAATTATGCTCAAGTCGGCATTAGTGTAGATATGTGATGGGTAGTTGGGCAAAAAAAAATACATTGCATATTAATGAAATAACGGTTAGTTAATAACTTTGTTTAGGAAATCTATAACTTTGTTTTTCAGATTTCTATTAGTTTCACCGAGATATATTTTTCTCACATTCACGTGTAGTTAAGGTTTACGAGTACAATAATTATGCTAAAGTCAGCATAAGGGTAGATATGTGATGGGTAGTTGGGCAAAAAAATTAAATAGAATTCATATTAATGAAATAACGGTTAGTCAATAACTTTGTTTGGGTGATCGATAACTTTGTTTTCTTTTTTGTTGCTTCTTCTTTTCATTTTTCTTTCTCTTTTTTCATCGTGTACTCCTTTGTTTCAAGATTCCATAAAACTTTCTCTCTTCAAAATAAACTTGAATTAACGTTTAGTCATTTTCTGAAAATTGAAAACTAGTCATATTTTTAACTTCCAAAGGCATAAAGTAAATAATTTTGTTATTTATTCATATCACAAAGTCATGAATTACTAGTTTATTATTACCACTGTCTCCTAATAATTAATAATATTAGAATTATTGTTAAACATGGATTTTAATAGGTTACAAGCTAGGTGTTGCCCAAAATGTTCAAATTTTTATTAGTCCCACCGCATTATTGTACCACATTCAGGAACACTAAATATGTAGTTACTTGACTCATGATGACTTCATTAGTTTGACAAAATAAACAATTAGACATGTTATTCCCAAATTCACGTGTAGATAAGTTTTACGAGTACAATAATTATGCTGAAGTTGGCATTAGGGTAGATATGTGATGGTTAGTTGGGAAAACAAATAAATACAATGCATATTAATGAAATAACGGTTAGTCAATAACTTTGTTTAGATGATTTATAACTTTGTTTTCAGATTTCTATTTGTGTCACCGTAGTACTGTACCAAAAGCATTTTCGTAAAAAATGAACTAACGTTTAGTCAATTTCGGAAAATTGAAACCTAGTCATATTTTTAACTTCCAAAGGCATAAAGTAAATAATTTTGTTATTTATACAAAGTCATGAATTACTAGTTTATTATTACCTCCGTCTCCTAATAATTAATAATATTAGATTTTTATTAGTCCTAGTATTGTACCAAATTCCGGAACACTAAATACTCTGTATGTAATTACTTGACTCATGATGTCTTCATTAGTTTTGTAAAATAATCAATTAGACATAGTTTTCTCAAATTCACGTGTAGATAAGTTTTACGAGTACAATAATTGTGCTGAAATCGGCATTAGGGTAGGTATGTGATGGTTGGTTGTGAAAACAAATAAATACAATGCATATTAATGAAATAACGGTTAGTCAATAACTTTGTTTGGTGTGATCTATAACTTTGTTTTCAGATTTCTATTTGTCTCACCGTAGTATTGTACCAAAAGCATTTTCGTAAAAAATGAACTAACGTTTAGGCAATTTCGGAAAATTGAAAACTAGTCATATTTTTAACTTCCAAAGGCATAAAGTAAATAATTTTGTTATTTATTCAAATAAAAAGTCATGAATTACTAGTTTATTATTACCTCCGTCTCCTAATAATTAATAATATTAGAATTATTATTAAACATGTATTTTAATAGGTTACAAGCACTACAAAAAACACGGGATTAGCAGGAATTTCTCGAAATTCGCATTGATTTTGGCAAGGATATGTCAAATTCATGCCAAAAACAGTCTGGCACGATAAAATAGACAAATTTGTGCCAAATCCGTGTAAATCCCAAAATTTTTTTGCGGTGAAGCTTAGTCTTGCCCAAAATATTCATATTTATATTACTCACGATGCAGTACTGTACTGAATTCAAGAAGACTAAATATGTAGTTACTTGACTCATGATGACTTTATTAGTTTGGGAAAATAATCAATTACATATGTTTTTCTCAAATTCACGTGTAGTTAAGGGTTTCGAGTACAATAATTATGCTGAAGTCGGCATTAGGGTAGATATGTGATGGTTAGTGTGGCAAAAAAATAAATACAATGCATATTAATGAAATAACGGTTAGTTAATAACTTTGTTTAGGTGATCTATAACGTTGTTTTCAGATTTTTAATAGTCTCACCGTTAGGGGTGTGCACCGGTCCAAAACCGGACCGGACCGGACCGGAACCGGTTAGGACCGGAACCGGAATCATCATTTTCTATGGACCGAAGACCGGACCTGAATCTAACCGGTCCGGACCGGTCCGGACCTGAATTTTCCGGTCCGGTCCGGGTTTGACCCTAATTGACCCGGTTTTAAAAAAAGACACACATGTATTATCTTAGAGTGTTCTTTGCCGACCCCAAATTTTTTAGGAATAAGACTTGGATGTTGTTGTGTCAAACTATAATTTTATATGCGGATATGCTAAATAGACTAAATATTGTTTAGCTCATTTATTAATTTTGGAATATAGTCATCAAAACTATTCAATCGTAACAATTAGTATCCCACAATAATTAAAACTACAATCTTTTGTGTATTAAATTGGCAAAATTTATTGTGGGGTAATAAAAACTAAATTACGTCCAAAAATATACTACATATAAAATACATACACACCTGCAAATAAAGAAACAAATAAAATGCGATTTGGAAAAATCAAACAAATATAAACTACGATCAATAAAAAACTTAGGACCTGCTACATAAAAAAAATTATAAACAACTTAGGAAATAATTAGACACCAAATACACTCTCCGTATATATTTGTTTATATAGCAAAAGGCAAAAATAAGCCATAAACATAGTAGTAAGCCAAATATAAATTGACTAATGATTCAAAACGAAGTATATATTTTATGGAACAATAGGTTACCGGTCTATTCCGGTCCGGACCTGTTTTTTCCGGGTTTGACCCGGACCGGACCGGAAACCCGGAATCTTGAAAAACTAAGGACCGAAACCCGGACCGGTAAATACCGGTCCGGTCCGGACCGGGTCATTCCGGTCCGGTTCAGGTCTAAAATACGGTCCGACCCGGTTAATGCACAGCCCTACTCACCGTAGTACTGTACCAAATTCAGGAAGACTAAATATGTAGTAACTTGACTCATGATGACATCATTAATTCGGTAAAATAATTAATTAGACATATTTTCTACATATTCATGTGTAATTAAGTTTTACGAGTACAATAATTATGGTGAAGTCAGCATTCAGGCAGATGTGTGATGGGTAGTTGGGTAAATAAGATTAAATAAAATGTATATTAATGAAATAACGGTTTGTAGCCAAGTATTCCAGCCCAGCTGGTTGTAGATTATCGTGCCTTGCAGAAGGTCTCGAGTTCGAAACCCTCTAGACACATAAAGGTTTGAAACTCAATGAAGTGAGTTTAGCCCAAATTATTACTTGGACACAAATGCGTCAAAGACGGTTAAAGCAAACCTCACGTTACCCAAATCTAAATCCACATTCTTACAACAAAGTAAAAGACAAAGATGAAAGTGAAAAGTATGCTCCAAACAATTAAAAAACAGAAATGCAAAGAAATAAAAATCATGCTCCGTCTTCCAGAGCACCACGATCATTCACATACCCGAACCTCCCCTCTGTCTCAGATTCTTCGGCAAGCCTAAGAATCGGAGTCCGCCTCCTCCCCGTTTTTTGGCTTGTCCAAAATCATGTTATCCCCAATTGGGTTTTCTATGTTTCCTGAGCTTCCCATATTTTCCTTCTTAAAGTTATTTTCCACTAAATAAAAGGTAACCACTTGTTATATGAAAAATTAAAACCATTTATGTTTGGCTAAAGTGTCAAACATGCCCGATCGTGTAAGCTCAATTTAGTTCCTGGACTAAAAAAAGGATCAATTCACATCACGAACTAGCAAAAAAGGTTAAATAATTGGCAAAAAATGACCGATTATTTACCTGTAATAAATGAAATTTGAACTATTTTTTGTCGGATGGAAGTGTGAATTTTTTGTTGTATGACAGTTAAAAGATTTTGGGAAAAGTGTCAAATAGGCCCCCCTACTAGTACGAAAAAGTCAATTAAGCCCCCGAACTCAAAAAACATCCAATTAAGCCCGCGAACTAAATATAACGAGGCAAAACAGTCCTTTTAGCAGGTAATTAAGCGGTTAAAAAGAGACAAGGAAAAAAGGAAAGAAAGAGAAAAAGAGAAAAAGAAAATGTAAAAGCACGTCACATCATTTGCCACACATGCAACTTAACTGGGAACGGTTAATATCCTGCTAAAGGAGGGTTTTGTCTCGGTTTTTATAATTCGTGAGCTTAATTGAGTGTTTTTTGAGTTCAAAGGCTTAATTGACTTTTCTGTATTAGTAGGAGGCCTATTTGACAGTTTCCGAAAGATTTTTTTATGGATTATCATTTTTATAGAATCAATCTCTAAAAAAGAAGAAATTAAAACTGACCCACTCCGGGTCTCCATTATTTTCTGAACCAAACGCATCGCACCCAGTAGAGCGAGAAACAGAGTTTGAAGAGCGAGAGGGAGAGGGGGGTCGAGAGTGAGGGAGAGTGTGGGAGGGAGAAAGGATAAGATCGTCGTCACTCGTCACAATATATTGCTGAATGGCGTTGTCGGGTTGAACATATTTTCTCAAACCCGAGGAAAAAACAGTCTGATTTTCTCCTCTTTTGACTCGGCGATGCGGAGAGGCAGAGCAGCCAAGCAAGCTCCGGCCGCTCCGCCTGCTGAAAACATCAATGGATCTGGAGGATCTCAGGACATTAGGTTCCGTGGAGTGAGAAAGAGGCCCTGGGGAAGATACGCGGCGGAGATTAGAGACCCCTGGAAGAAGACTCGCGTGTGGCTCGGGACCTTTGACTCGGCTGTGGATGCTGCCCGAGCCTACGACGCCGCCGCCTTGAGTCTCCGGGGCCCGAAAGCCAAGACAAACTTTCCGGTGCCGGTTAATTCTCACCAACCCCCGTATCAGCAGAGCCAGCCTGATGCCCTTGATCCGCCGTTCATCGATCCCCGGGTGTACAGTCAAGTGCCTCCGATTTTTCCTCAGAGGCGGCCTGCCTCCAGCGGCATGAGTAGCACGGTGGAATCCTTTAGTGGGCCCAGGCCACAGTCCGCGGCAGTCCCTTCTCGCCTTCATCCCAGGTCGCCGCCTGTGGGTCCGGATGACTATCATAGCGACTGCGACTCTTCATCTTCAGTCCTTGAAGACAGTGACTGCAAAGACATTGCCTCGTCTCCTTTCAGAAAGCAGCTGCCTTTTGACCTCAACCTGCCGACTTCCATGGAGGCAGACGATCTTCCCTGCACAGCTCTTCGTCTTTAATGCACCGTGGCAGCTGAGGCTGCTCATCTTCGGCTCCCCCCTCATCACTGGAAACCAAATCCAGTGCTAGTATTTGCTTGATCTCTTACTTTTCTGTTTTTCTGTGTACCCGCCGGTTTTAAAGAAAATGTTGGTGAAAAGAAGGAAATCCAATCCTTTAGAGCTAAATTGTGAAGTCCGATCATTAAAAAGATCAAGCTTATGATAAAGTCTCAGCTAAACTACGAAGAGAATGTACTTTTTAAATTGCAATTCACTTCCGATAGTATAATTCTCTTAGTATCCCTGGCCGCATCAGTGTGTTGATATATATTTACCATCGTGTAGCTATTATTATGGCTTCAAACCCATGCATCAATGCAACATGAGTTGTTGTCATGATTATCATTTATGTAACAATTAAATAGATATATCAATCCTACAGTATTAGATGAAATTAGTTTGTATTCGCTCATTTTCTCTGAAATTTGAGTTGCATGTTATAGCTACTTCATGACGGAAAAGCATGTGTGGACATATTTGAGCATGATTTGAGGTTTTGTGCTTTTTGACATGCAGGTCATCTATGTAAGCTTCCATTAGAACTCCAATCTCTTATTTGAACTACCTGGTTATCGTTCTCGTAAAATATTGCTTGCACTCCATGATAAACCAAAATAACACGTACCACGTATTATTAGTTATTTATTACTAACGTATTATGTTACCTTATTATCTAGATTGTAATTAGGATGTCTCCTTGTATAGATTGAACTCTTTTCCTTCTATATTTGTTTCTTACCGTTTTGGTCTACCATTTTGTAGACCAAAATGAAATACCAAATGTAATAGTATACCATGTATAGGTTAATGTATTTTTGTGCGCTCCTTGTTCTCTTTCCCATGCAGGTATGATGATGCCTGTAGAAGAGCTTGTACCCTCTGCCTCAAAGTGGATGATGATGTAGTAGACCAACTATTGGTTAATGTACTCAACTGAAGAGTGATAGATTTTGGGCATCTATTTGTTAGTTTCTCATAAGTTTGTGTTGTTGTGGTCCAGTACTCCAATGCAAATTCAATGTCATTTTCAAACATACTTGAGGTGAACACAAACGGCATGACAATGAAGATTAATGTTGTAGACAGATTTGGGGGATATCTATAGTGATCCCGTGATGTTTTGTTTTCCTAAGCAGAGTTTGCAATGACAAATATTATTGGAGGCAAAGCCTGAAGGGCAAGAATCTGGACATGTTTGTTGTCGGTTGCGACTCCAGAGTAGAAAAAAGCCTCTCTGTAAATATGATGGGAAACCTTGTTAATGTTTTTCATCTCACAATAACATTAACAAGGTTTCCCATCTTCAAAGAATCCCCCTCCCCTCTCCCATCATTTGGGAGTGCAAGTTCTTGGGGTTAGCTTTATTTCCCTCCTATGGTGTCTTTACCAAGTCTAACTTCATTTCTTGGTGCATTGTTTTTATAATGGATGTTATAAATTTGTATCTTGTTCTTCCTTTGAGCACGTTCCGGCTGAATTGTTTTGGCATAGAAAGCAAGTATAATCAATTGGTCACACAATGTTTGATTTGAAGAGACATTTTAATACCAAAATAAAGTTATTTCTTCATTCAGATTGATGTCCTTTGGGGCATTAATTGTTTACTTGTATAAGTTGTATACAGGATGCACCCATGTTTCGGTTTGTCTCCAGTTAAGGCGAGCTGAACTTAAACCGTCTGATCTGAAGAAAAAGAAAAAAAAAAAAAAAAGAGGCAGCTCAGCCATTTTAGCTACCCAGATGTAGCCTGTTCTGTTTCCGAAAATGGCCTAGTTGCATCATGACTCATGAGGGTTGGGGATGTAATATACTCCAGGAAATTGTTATGGCTGTTGAGTATAGTATATTGTACAGGTGGATGATCAAAATGCTCCTTGACATAAAAAAGAGGATATCCATGAGGGGATGCTCTTTTGAGGAAGCAGGAGTGCGTTTGCGAAACCAGAAGTCCATAACTCAAAGGAAAACAGCTCACAATCGAGTTGAAAAATAAGAAAAACCAAAAGTGGTCTGAGAAAAAACAAATCAAGCAGTTTGATTTGGTTTTTGTCACCAAATCAAAATTGTCTATCATATTTAAAATATATTTTTAAATTAAATAAAGAAAAAAATTATATGAGAAAATAATTAAAATAATCATCCATCGTAATTTTAATCAATTAGTTGGAAAAGTAACTCTAATTTTACTCATTCTTATGTGTTACACCGTGCAATGTGCATAATCAAAATTTATGTGTTTACCATAGAAAAAGTGAATTAACAAGACTGATATATTAAAAATAATAAAGAGTAAATAAAGAAATATCAAATCGACCAACCAGGGCAATAAAAGTTCTAAAATGAAAAACGTAAATTGAAATAAATTTAAAACTATATACAGTTTGGGTTTGATTTGCAGTTTGTCAAAACTAAAAGTGATCAATTTCAACTAAACCTACCCATCACTCCACCAGCCGACCAGCGACGCCCTTTATGCACAACAGCGCACAAGAAGGAGTTGTGCTTCATAAGGTAACGATTTTTCTATCCATCCATCATAAGACTGTTATTCTAATCAAGAATAGGCAAACTCGTTATACTATATACGCTTATACTTGATCTCATTCTCAAACATTCATTCAATAAGGTTTGTGGTCGGTGGAATTATCAGATGTTTAGGTCCTTGAATAAACTCTCATTTCTTTAAGAATCGACTCCACATTTTTTTGTTGTCCTGAATTTGACGGATAGACTATCGAATGAGTAAGTTCTCAAATCCACCATGTATCCTACATTCCTACTCACGACAGAATGTGCAAGTAAGCTTTCACATTCAAACTCCGCCAAAAAGAAAAGTGCACACAAATTAAATCGGTTTGATCATCTTTATATTTAGTTTATTTATACTAAATTTTGATTTTTCATGCTAAATTGTTTAATATCTATATAAATCTATATAAATAAAGTCAAAACCACTTTGGGCTTTTTAAAAGTGTAAAGTATTTAAGAAAAAGCAGACGTCTCCCTAGGTCTCTAGGGTTAGCTATCTTGCGCCGATTTTCTTCTCTCGATTGTCGGGGGAGGAATCAGGAGTGTGCGAGTTTTGTCTTCGTGCTTGGCTTTGTGACCGGAAGTTGAGGCAGGGCTCTGCCTCAGGACTCTCGAACAATTTTCATTGATTTGGAAGGAAGATGGAGGAAATTGCCAACAAATACAAGGACATGGCTATTGGAGACCAAGAGGAAGAACTGGTGTTTGAAGAGGAGCCGCTTAAGGAGGAAGGAGGCTCGGGCGAACAGGAGGTTTACCCGATTGTAGGGACCGTGGTCACCGATCGAATGGTGTGATTTCCGGCTTTTCGAGACCTTATGGCCTCACTTTGGAGGTCGGGCAAAGGTATCTCAATAAAGGAGATCGGCGAAAAAAGGTATATGTTTACTTTTTAATTTTTATCATCCTATTGATGTGAAACGTGTGCTTGAAGATGGACCATGGATTTTTTAGCAGAATTTACTGATTCTTCAGGCACTGTAGCCTGGGGATGTTCCTCTCTGTATGCCTCTGAATGAGACTGATTTTTGGGTCCAGGTTCATGATATTCCTTATGTGTTGCTAGGAGAATTAGGAACTTTGTTGGAAAAATTATAAGTTGGGATAAAACTCAGTTTGATAAAAAGTGGAAGCCCTATATGTGGATTAGGGTCTGTTTAGATGTGGGAAAACCTCTAAAGGTGGGAACCACTCTCAGAAAGGGGCAGGGCGAAGGGCACTGGGTTAATTTTAAATATGAGAAGATGCCTAGTTTTTGTTTTTCATGTGGTGTTATAGGATATACTGACAGGTTTTGCCCCCTAGTTTATGAGAATGACTCTGTGGGAACCAATTGATCGTCTGGGGTCGGCCTACGTGCAGGTGGGGGGGAGGCACAGATGGTGGGGGGAAATAAGTGGATAATTCCAGAAGGTTCAAGGGAGGACAGAAAAGGCCGACCGAGAGGAGGGAGGCAATTCTGGTCTGAGCAGGAAAGAGTGGAATAGTCCCTTGACTCGAAACACCAAGAGCGGATTGGAGAATGCGGAAGCAGCGGCCACGGAGGACAAGAGCGGTGAGCCAAAGCGTGGGAGGACTTGGGAAGAGGCTAATGGAGAAAAAAAGAGAACGAAACTATGGTCTTGGATGACCCAAAAAACGGGGACAAGGCGGGTTCAGACGCCTCAACCCTCCGAGTTCTTTGAAGATGGTCTCAGTTGGGAACGGGCGTTGGTGCTCGTTCTTATGCTTCAAGATGCTCTTTAATTTCCACGTCTTTATTATTTTTCAGTTTACATTTTGTACTCAGACTTTGTTTCTTTCGATCACTGTGGTTTTGTTCTGTCAGACTCTTTTAGACCCAATACAGGATCAGCGAATCATATTGCTTTAAGTGGGGGTGACGAGAGTTTTGCTCTGGCCACGTTTGGCTCATTTAGACCCAATACAGGATCAGCGAATCATATTGCTTTATTTAAGGTGATTGATTCTCCAGCTAGTTCGAGGGTTGGTGGCTGGAAATGCTTCCTTTATCATTAATGTCCCTTGTTGAATGTTTTATTATCAATATAAGCCTCCCTGTTACAAAAAATCAAAACTACTTTTATAACTTACTATCCTCTGTCTCTTTTTAGTTGCAATATGTTGACCTTTTGCAATATTCACATGATCTACCTTGACTACATTTTACACTATTATTTCATGGAAATTATTTTTTAAAAAAATATTTTTCAATTCATCTCATTACAAATTTTCAAAATCTGATTTTAAATATTTTTTATTAATAGAAATTAAGATATACTTACGGTCAAATGTGTGCATTGGCAAATGTGCAAAGGTTGACTGTTGCAACTAAAAAAACGGAGGAAGTATTTGACTAAAGTTACACTGGAGGATCAATGAAGTTGTTTTTCATATTGTTGAATGTTGATGTAAAGTCCTAGAAGTTCAAAGGTCCAACACAGTCCTTTGAACTTTCGTTGGAGTCCTTTTAATTTTATGAGTGCTTAAGGCAAGAATAGACAAGAATGATAGCAAGTAAGTAAGAGGCAAAGTGTATCTAGTTCTATTAAGTATTTATAATGATTACAACACTTATGTCGAGCTTCGAGCTTCGATCCGCTAGTGTAAGTTGAAGATTACATAAAATTTGAGCGTGATGTGCTCAATTCTGTGCGATAACCCCAACCAAAAAATCTTGCATATCTAGTGCATTAAATGCGTTTCCTACCAATTTCAAGGTTTTTCGCCGATTGATTGGGGGAGTTCTGCCTTGGACGGCTGCTAGATTGAAGGGAGAAACCCAAATGAGGAGATCGAGCCGACGACATTCCCCGTGCGAGTAGGCCGTGTGTGCTTTCAAATTGTCTGAACTGCGATTGGATCCGTATACAGATTGGGCCCCATAGAGGGGTGGGCCTGTGCCTAATATCCCAACACATATAATCTTTTTTGAATTTTTTTTAAAAATACTACAAATATTTTAAAATAATTTTTTCACAATTAAGTAAATTTAGCAAATTCTACCGTTAAATTTTATCGATTTCAATATATTCAACCGGTTCAATCTATTTTATTGCTATCAACAGGCTCTAAATGCATTCAAAAACCATACAAATACTTAAAATAATGCGCGTCTATAGTGAAATTATATTCAGCCTACTAGAAAGATCATCATAAGAAAATGATAGTCCCATACAATTTGATCAAATTTAACTTACATGTGGAATAATAATGTAAGAAATGTGTGATTTATATTTGTGTATAAGAGATAAATTAACTTTATCTATATCACTTTTATTTTAAAATGAATGAACATTCTTCCACCGTCCCATTTTACATGTCTTATTTTTCTTTTTGAGTTGTCTCAAAATAAGTGTCACATTTTTTATTTTTGGAAAGGAATATATGATTGGCAACATTTCACTTTGTTATACTCAAATCACAACTACAACTTTTACCTTTTCAACCATTTTATTAATAATTTGTGTTAAAACTAAATGAGACATACGTAGTATAAAATAAGGAGGTAGTACTATTTTTCAGAGGACGGACAAAAATTTGGGAGAATGTCTATTTGTTACTTCTATTTTTACGGAGTCCGTAATTCTGAAATGAATGAAAAGTTCATGTAATTATCATCGAATTAATGTTTGTAAACAAATGATCTCAAAATAACTTCGTATGTAATAGTGTCAGGTGATTCTAACCGGCAAAAGTTGGGGAAACAAGAACCATCTTTTGACTCGAGAGTAAAATGAAAGAGAGGCAAAGTTAGATCTCACAAAGAACAAACAGCAAATAATGCAGATTTTGAGTATGGTCTCTTCTTAACTCTCTGTCACCTGGAAGCTTGACTTCGTTTATGGAGATAGACGCAGCTCCTATTAGCCGCTGCTCTAAAGAGCACGAAAGGATCTATCACGAATGGTTCATCTGTGCTGATTCAGGTGCATCTTTCTCACCCAACTTCTGCTTTCGAAATGTTTCGGTTTTCTCTGTTCTCTTGGGAAATGTATATCTGCATTTACGAATCGTGCATTGGTGATCGCTAAAAAATTATGCAGATAGAGATGGACGCATCACCGGAGGCGATGCCACGAAATTCTTCTCCATGTCTAACCTGTCCCGCCAGGATCTTAAGCAGGTTCTATATGATATTACTTGATTTGTTTCCTCTTATTTTATCGTCGCTAAATTTTATTCTCGAGACGTTAGAAAACCGTTTGAGCTCAACCTTTCACATACATGTTTGGTTTGTGAAAGCAGCTTTGGATAAGATTGCCCCTATTTCCACCATTTGTTGCGTTGCCTCTTTCCATGAATAGTTTTGGCTTCTTTTTGGATGGGCAATGTCAATGTGAATTTCCAGTGATTGGATTCCATATCAGTTGTCAACACCATATTACTACCATCTGGCTCTATTTTGACTAAAATTTCATTCTCAGTAGATACCTGCCTACCTGACTATTAGTAAAAAAAGTTCCTTTTACTTATATCTATAATCTGTTACCTGGCCCATTCCAATGGTTAATACCCATGTAGTATATTTACAATTAATCATTCAGACTTTTCTTTATTGGGTTTTAGCTCTATTTTTTTCAGTAATGTGTTTTCAAATCAAGCATGCCTTCACTGTCTTTCTAAATTTACTTGATTTTCCCTTAGGTCTGGGCGATTGCAGATTCCAAACGGCAAGGCTATCTTGGTTTTAAAGAATTTGTGATTGCTATGCAGGTCCCGATGCTTTTTTGGTCTCTGATTTTGCTCGTAGAATTAGGATATTTTGTGAAACCTGATTGTTCATTGCATTTCAATGTTTAGTTAGTGTCTTTGGCTCAAGGTGGACATGCAATCACTGCTGATCTTTTACATGCGAAAGGTAAGTATTGTCAATTTCTGTTTCCTTTGCCCCCATATTTGAGTGTTTGTAGGGTGCCGTTTGTAGGGGTGGCACCCTACTGCTGCCTCAAGCAGTTTCTTTCCTCCCTTTATTGTTCAAACTCTTTTTCTTATTAGCATTGCTCTGCTCTTTTAACCTAACCATTGAGATATTCAACCCATGCCAGTTGACTTCGAAAATTTAGAGCCACCAAAAATGGAAGGTTTGCATGCTCTCCTGGAAGTAAGTGTATTTGCTAAATTAGATCCACTCCCTTTTTACAGAGTACTGACTTACCATTCAAAAACTTCAACTCTATTTCAATATATTAATTTTACAGAAGAAAAATTATGTGCCGAGAAGTGAACCCAAGCTGAATGGTAAGAATCCAGTGCAAGAGCACTTTTTAGTCTTTCCCCTTCTTTCTTGTTTCAGTATCCCTGACTAATTTCGCAATGGTGCAGTGACTGCAGTCAGCTCTCCCAAGCAATCCTCCCCAGCAGCTAGTTGGTTTCAGTCATCACAATCTGTAAAGAAGGTCCATTTCATCAATCTCTATGCTTTGTATATCGAGCATACAATTTTCTACTGTTTCTTTTATATGTGTGTGAGTTTTCATTATTTTAGTTCTCCCCATTCCATAAATGTTGATTCCATAATTGAGTTTGTCCCCAAATGTATAGACCACATTGATTTTACTTTTCAAATGTACCACATTTTAAAACAAGAAACCCTGCTATGGAGGTGATTTTTAATACATTGTTCAATGATCTAGAGTGGTTGCGGGATTGCAAATTAAGTGATGTCTAACATCTACATTTTGCTAGAACACAGTAATAATTTTTACTTTCAATTCAATGCAAACTTCTAAAAGTTAAAAGATTCGGAGTACTTAAAATGCATGTGTTTTTACCTGCTGTGGATTACCATTCAGATCAACACCTCAAACGTGCTCTTATTGCTATCTATACCAAGGAAGCACACACTAAATGTGTTTAGTTTTTTATGATTACATGAACTTATAAACATAAGGGTAATGTAAACAAGAATTGAAATTATATATCCTTCTTAGAGATCTTCCTCAACCACCTGCTGCTAATGTCTCTGAGGTGAATGAAATAATTATAAGAAGCATGAAAACATTTTGTTTTAGACTTGCCTGTCTAACGTTTGCAAGCGTGACTGAGCTTGGGAAGTTTCCTAGAATCCTGGCTCATGGGGCAATTTAGATCTTCAAGTCCCACTATTCATGTGGATAGTTAAAAAATGTTGGATGGAATGTGTGATTCCATGTTCCTTAAAATTGTAATATTTCCCTTAGGCCATGATTTGGCTATGACTTGATGGAACAAAAAATATTGTTGGGGGAAATATGTTCAACGTTTAACATATGACCATATGGGTGTGAATAGAACGTGATGATTGTTGCATCTTCTGTTGGCAAGAATAGTGTTTTAATTGCTTTGTTTGGGCAAGCTTCATTTTCTTCACAACAAAGGTCAAATGTTGTATTTTTATATCTATAAAATTTACTTTCGTTTTTCACCCTTGATCAATGATGTGTATTTTCTAGGTTGGGATACACTTGTATGTATCATACTCCGTCCTAGATAACCCTGCCAAGTTTGACTGGCGCATAGAATAATAAACTAAGAACTGTATGGTTGAGGTTTGTGCAGAGGAGAGAAATAATAGAAACCATAAATTAGTTGCTTAAAGGAAAGATGACAAAGTTTTTGGGACAAACGAAAAAAGAAAGATGGAAAGGTTATAAGGAACAGAGGAAGTACATATTAAGAGGACTATATAAATAAATCTGACCTTTCTTTGACATTTTGCTTGGTTCTTATGAATAAGAGACATTTGATGACTATAAATATGGGCTCTAGACCTTTTATTTTGAAAAAATATGTTTCATGCGGGCCTTAAATGATGAACTGATTGAACCCTGCTTTCAGAAAACGTAATGAAGGGGTAGGGTGATTTATTGACCCTAATTTTATACTCATGTAGTCGTGTGTGAACCAATGGATAAAGGTGCATATGATTTGAAAAACTTGAGCTCTTTGGGCAATGTTTGATTCAAATTCAATCAAATGCAAGCACGAGCTGACTCATCAAGCAATCGATTTGAGTTTAAGCTTACAGTTATTTGACTGGTCACATGTTGGGAATCGTAAACTAACAAAATGCAAAATTTGAAGGTGTGATACGAA